AGGTAAACCATAATTTATTTAATAAATCTCTCTATTGATGGCCATTTAGGTTGTTTTCAATTTGGGGCTTTTATATACAAGATTGAATTTGTTTAATGATGTCCTTGGATAAATTTCTAAAAGTTCAAATGATTGGGTTGAGTGTTTAGATGTTGTAACATTTTACATATTTTTTCAAATTACTAATCAATATAGAAATTTACAGTGCCACCAACAGTGTATGAGAGTACTCTCTGTTCTCACCTACTCTATGTATAGTCCATGTTTGTAATATTTGCCAATTAGATGCAACAGAGTAGCACATCTTACACATTCATTGACAGTTTTAGATTTATTCATTTATGAAGTACCAGGAAATGCATGCTTTTTTCTCATTTTTTCTGTATAAGTATTTATCTTTTTCTTATTGATTGGTAACAGGCTTATAGTGAAGATATTAATCATGTTGAAGTTTATCCTTTAACTTAATTTATGTTATGTGTCAATTTGTGGTCAATTATGTAACCAATTTTATTAGTCTTTTTTATTGATAGTTTCTAGATTTAGTGCATGCTACGAAAGGTCTTTCTCACCCTGATTACGAAACTATATTATATCTTTTATTTTCTTCTTGTGCTTCAGTAGTTTTCTTCCATTAAATTCTTTTTTATTCACTTTTAGTTGATACATAATTAATATGTAATAAATTACACATTTTAAAAGTGTACAATTTGACAAGTTTTGATATACAGATGATCTTTGACTTACGATGGGGTAATATCCTAATAAACCCATCACAGTTTGAAAATTTTGTATGTAAAAATGCATTTAATACATCCAACTTACCAAACATCATATCTTAGCCTAGCCTACCTTAAATATGCTCAGAACACTTCCATTAGTCTGCAGTTGGACAGAATTAGCAACACAATGAATGTACTCTAGAGTATTGATTGTTTACCTTCATGATTTTGTGGCTGACTGGGAGCTGCTGGCCAGAATCCTGAGAGAGTATTGTACTGTACATCACTAACTCAAGAAAAGATCAAAATTCAACATTTAAAGCACAGTTTCTACTGAATGTATATATATATATGGCTTTGGCTATATCGTAAAGTTGAAAAATTGTAAGTTGGCAATTATAAGTAGGGGACTGTCTGTATTTATAACCCATGAACCATCAACACAATCAAGATACTGAACATATTCGTCATCTCAAAAAGTTGTCTCCTGTCTCTTTGTAGTCTCTTTTTTCCACCTCTTTCTCCCCCACCCCTCCCCCCATCCCCAAACAACTACTGATTAGCTTTCTGTCAGTTTAGATTGGTTTGCATTTTCTAGAATTTTGCATAAATGGAATCACTTTTTGTCTGACTTTTTTTTTTTTTTTTTTTATTATCCTCATCCGAGGACATTTTTCCATTTTTTTGTACAGACAGAGTGGGAGGGAGAGAGAGGAAGAGAGAGAGAGGGAAACATCGATGTGAAAGGGACACATCGAGTGGCTGCCACCTGCACGACCAGCCAGGGCCGGGGACAAACTGCAACCGAGGTACATGCCCTTAGCGGGAACCGAACCCGGGTCTCTCCGGACCGCAGGTGGACGCTCTAACCGCTGAGCCAAACCAGCCAGGGCTTGTCTGACTTCTTTAACTTAGTCATGAGTATTTTGAAATTCATCGATGTCGTATATAACAGTAGTTCATTCCCTTTTATTGCTGAGTAGTATTCCATTACATATGGATATGCTAAAATGTGCTTATTTGGTCAGATGTTAATGGATGTTTGGGTATTTTCAGTTTAGGGCTATTACAAAGAAAGCTGCTATAAACATTATTCATGTCCAAGTTTTTTTAATGGACATATGCTTCCATTTCTCTTGGGTAAATACCTAGGAGTGAAATGGGTGGATAATGTGGTAGGTACTTGTTTAACTTTTTGAGAAACTGACAGACTGTTTTCCAGAGTCATAGAACCATTTTACATTCCTACCAACAGTGTATAAGAATTTCAGTTCCTCCATATCAACACTTTGTATGGTCAGTCTTTGTAATTTTAGCCATTCTAGAAGGTGTGTAGTGGAAGCAATTGAAGAGTAATTAAATGAAGAATATAATGATCGCATTTGAGTTTTAAAAGATCATCATGGTTGTGATATGGAGAATGGATTATATCAGAGTGTGTGAAGAGTGGAAGCATTAGAGCTCTCGCAGTGGCCTGGGTAAGAAAGGATGGTAGCTTGGATTAGGAGTGATGTCAGAGTATCTGTATAGAAATGAATAGATTCAAGATCTATTTTGGAAGTAGAATTGACAGGACTGAGTAATGATAAATGTGTGGGAAAAGGGATATTGAATGAGTTAGAGTTTTGGTTGCAAGATATAAAAACCAACTCTGGCTGACCAAAATGAAAAGGGAATTTGAAAAATAAGGATATTGGTTAGCTTAGCTCATAAGATTGATTAAAATGTTAGAGAACGCCCTGGCTGGTTTGACTCAGTGGTTAAAGCATCAGCCTGCAGTCCAGAGAGACCTGGGTTCGGTTCTCTCTAGGGGCACGTACCTCAGTTGCAGTTTGTCCCTGGATCCAGCTGGGGTTGTGTGGGTGGCAGCCAGTCAATGTGTCTCTCTCACATCAATGTTTTTCTTTCTCTCTTCCTCCCTCTCACTCTATCTGAAGATGAATGCAAAAATGTCCTCGGGTGAGGATAAAAAAAAATGCAACAAAAACAAACCAACAAAATAAATAAATAAATAAATGTTAGAGAACAAGGATTAGAAATGACGGAGCAAGGTCAGCAGGAACTAATTGACAGTCTGGAATGAAAGAAATCCAACTGACTTTTCTCTTTTTCTCACTCTGCTTGTGGCTCACAGTCCTAGAAAAGGCACTCCAACTAGCTGAGCTTAAGCCATATGCCTGGCTCTTGATATACCAAAACAATAAGAGTATAAAATCTAATGGAAGAAACCTATACTTTCATCTGGGGACACCTTTAGCTTTCATAGTGGGAGGGCAAGTTACCTTGACTTATAGTCCTCAAGATTGCACAAAACTTAATGGAAGAAATCTCTACCCCGCCCCCCCCCCCCCCCGCCCCATTAAGGTGATGTTAGGAAGGGAAATTGAATTTGGGATAGCCAAAGAAACATCAGATGCCCACTATGGGGGCGGGGTTAGGTATCAAGGATGATTCCCTTTTTCAGACAAGAGCCCTCAGACTTGAAAAACAGAAATGTCTGGTTAACCTTCTTCAGTGGTTAAGAAGGTCTAAATGATAAGAGGCCTCTTCACCCAAGGCCCTGAAATCTTTACAGATTCTCTCTAACTTAAACAAAAAATTAAATTGTCAGGGGCATCCTTCTACAAATGAAAAAAAAATGAGGGAATAGATAAACTGCAGTCCCTAGGGTATATTAATGGGCTGAAATCCAACTACTTTTAACCATCTTATAGTCCTCTTCAATCCTCTTAAAGACCAAAAAGCATCGTCTTTAGTTCTATTATCAAAATGATTAACTTCAGCTTCCCAATGACCTTTAAGTTTAGACAGTGTTTTCCTGTTTTCTTTTCTGCCTCACCAAACTCAGTATTAAGCCTTTTTCTTCCTACACAATGTCCTCCCTCCCTTCCTCCCTCCCTCCCTTTCCATCATTCACTGATTTAAATAAGCAATGCTGTGGAATTCGAAGTCTGAAGCATCTAGTATTTCTTCGGGATAGTCAATGGAAAGGAATAGTTTTAGACTTGGGGACCTGCTATCTGCCACCAAACAACACCCAGAATTATACGCATCTGATATTCTACTTAGTGAGCATGAGGGAGAACAGTATTGTTACTCTAGTCTAAAGCCCAGCTATTAGGACTTCCAGAGAGCAACTTCCATATGGAAATTCCTGGCGTCTTTAGAAAATTGGAATTGGTCTTTAAGCAACGATTATATCTGTGATCTTCTTTGAAGAAATAGCACTACTGTCTGAACATAGCTATGGAAAACACAGTCCTGAAGATGAACCTGGGTAAATGGGGACCATTCTAATAAACCATTCTGAGATCCTTTAACAAATATCTTGTGGGCAGAACTAATATTATAGAAGGACTTATCCTTTGTAGTTAACACGCTGTCGTCTTTTTATCTCTTATCCCACAATCACCTATTAATGTGACACTTGGAAGCCATTTCAGATGCTTTCTTTAGATCGCAGCTTCTCTTTCCTACCTATGTAGGAGGTCTGGACCATGCTTCAGCCCGCCCTCTTTACTTCGCTAAATCTATCCTTGTGCCCAACCTTGTCTCAGTCTGTTTGTTGCTTTACTGAGTTTCCGTCCAAATTAATTCCATTGTTTGTGCATTTTATTGTTGTTGTTTTGCAGTTACCTTTTTCTGGTCCCTGATATTTGACCATGCCATTTGCTCAATCTTATTTCAATTTCAACTTATCTGCATTAATACACTAATTTGGTGTGTATCTATTTTAAGGCAGGTCTAAGAAAGAAGCCTACTCTGGTTGGTAGCTTCCCACTGATTTGGAAGGTCGTCATTACAATTAAATCAAAGAACATTTTTTTAAAGGGTGTAATGCCTGAAAAGCACCATGTTAGACACTGGAGAAGAGGCCAATACAAAGAAAATCCATGGTTCTTGCTCTCAAATGATTTACTGTTTATTGAGAGAGAGGGAAATATAAACAGTTAAGTTGAATATAAGTTTAAATAGGAAAATAAGTTCCCCAAAGCATATGGTTGTACAGGGAAGAGAGGCCGGATGAGAATAGGGAGGATACAAACAAAAATAAAAACATATAAGAGTAAATGTTAATATAGTATTATGTACTAGGTAATGTTCTAAGTATTTTAAATGTATTGACTCATTTTCAAAAGTATAAGTAGGTTTTTAATATATAACTGTAAAGGGAAAAGCATAAGTCAAAGCATAAAAGCCCAACCTTTAAGTCCTTTCTTGCAAAAAAAAGAAAGATTGGACTAATACTACTGCATCTCATTTTCCAACTTCAGAAGAGGATCCAGATTGGACTGAGTGGAGACGAGGCCCTGTGGCTGAATAAAGGTACCTAGAAACAAGATCTTTCCCTAGGTGTACTCCTGCGCTACGGAAAGCCAGACTGTGGAGGTACGTGATCTACTCTAATGTTGACCTGGTCTTACTTTTCTTTTTATAAATCTCAATAAATAGTAAAGGACTTTTTCCCATTCAAAGTAAAGTATGTTGACGGTGTGTTGATACGGACAATTTAAAACAAGGAGAAGTACATGAGAAAGGAAGGGCTTCCATCCCAAGCCACGAGCACAGGAAGGAACCCCAAGCCCGTGGGCAGTGGCAACAAAAGCGGGAGTTTCGTCTGTCATCGCAGAACGCAGGAGCGTGCGCTCCGTTCAGACACGTAGAGAAGGCGGGACATTCAGGCCTTTAGTCTGTCTAATACGACTAAAGGGGTTTTTATTCAACAATGGATTAAAAGAAATTCAGCTAATATATTTGACCAGAGGCAGTTAGAATAACCTTTCAGGTAGCTAAATAAGCAGAAGGTAGAATATATAGCTCTGTTAATGCTGGTTAATTTCAAACTACTGTATTGTGCCCGTCCCCAAGCAAGCTGTTATTTTAAGACCATTGATAGTGCTGTGAATCCCTGAGGTGTGTAAATTAAAGCTGGCCACGTAAGAGAGATCTCTTTGGGACCATTTATGTGAAATGAATAATAGGGTTAAATTTTTAAAAATTAAATCTAGAGAGGTTTCCCAGAGGTTATGTATAAACCTTCATTAGGGTACATTTTCCATTTGGAGTTCTGGTGGATGGGAGCCAATAATAGGTTGCTGAAGCCACCACCACATACTGCAATATACTCAATATTCAAACTCTTAGTACTTGAATCTTTCATATTTTTGGCTGTGTATAAAGCAGCATCTTTTTATTTATTTATTTTTTTATTATCCTCACCCGAAGATATTTTTTGTTCAGATAGAGTGGGGGGGAGAGAGGGAGAGAGAGAGAGAGAGAGAGAGAAACGTTGACGTGAAAGGGACACATCAAGTGGCTGCCACTTGCACGACCAACCAGGGCTGGGGACAAACTGCAACCAAGGTGCCCTTAGCGGGAACCGAACCCGGGTCTCTCTGGACCGCAGGCCAACGTAAAGCAGCATCTTTTAAGCCAAGTGAGAATAATGAAAGAGAGAAAGCTTTTGTAGGTTAATAAGATATTAGAATCTCATGGTGTTTGGACACTGATCCCCAGTTTGAGTGCTTGAGAAGAAAATGTCTTTATCTTTGATGGCTTTGGAGAAGAATATAAATGTATTCTCCTTTGAGAATTAACATATATATTTATTCTCCCTTGTTTTTGTTTTGAAATCTTTAGACTTAAGCAGTTTGTCAAAGAGATCATATTAATGCCTGCATACAACAGCTAACAAGCCAGTTCAGAAAGCCAGTGGTATAAACTGGCGTAGACAGAAACCTGATATGTCATTTTCCACATTGCTTCGCTGTCGCTCTCGCGGGGAAGTGATGCATTCCTAATGTTCTTGGAAGGGTGACAAATTGAGAACAATTGTCTTGTGCGATTCTGGATTTCAGGGTAATCATCCTCGGGTTAGGGGAAGTCTCACATCAGCAGTCACTTCACAGACCCAGCAGCTTACCAGGACATAAACTTGGGCATTTTCTTTTCTTTCTTTTTTTTTTAATCCTCACCCGAGGATATTTTTCCATTTTTTGTACAGATAGAGTGGGAGGGAGAGAGAGGAAGGGAGAGAGAGAGAGAGAAACATCGACATGAAGGGACACATCGAGTGGCTGCCACCCGCACGACCAACCAGGGCCGGGGACAAACTGCAACCGAAGTACGTGCCCTTAGCAGGAACCGAACCCGGGTCTCTCTGGACCACAGGCCGACGCTCTAACCGCTGAGCCAAACTGGCCAGGGCATAAACTTAGACAGAGAACCAGGAGACAATAAGCAAGAGATGAAGAAAAGGGTGCAATTTCTTTGGATGCCAATGACCCCTGTCCAGTCTATGTTTATATTCTTCTTCACTGGTTACATTAAAAGGAAAAACTTTGGAAAACAAAATCCTCAAAACCTTCATAAATTTATAAATAGAGGAGGAGATTTCTGACCAATGACAGGAGTTTTTTTTTTTTTCAATCCTAACCTGAGGATATTTTCCCATTTATCTTCAGATAGAGAGGGAGAGAGAGAGAGAAACATTGATGTGAGAGACACATTGACTGGTTGCCTCCCACATGACTGACCAGGCCCTTGGGACCTGGTACCTCGGGACCGACCAAAACCAAGGTACGTGCCCTTGACTGGAATTGAACCCGAGACTCCTTAGTCTGTGGGCCGATGCTCTTACTGCTGAGCCAAACCAGCCAGGGCTGGAATTTTATTTATTTATTTTATTTTTTAATCCTCACCCGAGGATATTTTTTCTATTTATCTTCAGATAGAGTGGGAGGGAGGGAGAAAGAGAAACATCGATGTGAGAGGGACACATCAACTGGCTGCCTCCCACACGACCCAACCAGGACTGGGGACGAATTGCAACCGAGGTGCGTGCCCTGGACCTAAATCGAACCCGCAACTCATTGGTCCACGGGCTGATTCTCTAACTGCTGAGCCAAACTGGCCAGGGCCAGGGCTGGAATTTTAATATAAAATAGAATACCAAACCAGAAATTTGAAAATCGAGGAAATCCTCGGTGTTGCTGAAAGGTATGGATATGAAGATTAAGGAACTGAAGGGACTTATTTTCCAAGGAGAGTCTTAGAGCCTCCTGGAAGCATTCTTTCCCTGGCATTCATATTGAATACAATTTCATTTATTTTCTGTTCTTGAAATTTTGGCACCACGTCTCCTTTGGCAACTGGGACTAATTATATTCTCTTGTTCATTGCAATTAGAAAACTTTGTTCCATTTGAAACATAAAATTTATGTTTATTCAGAATTACTCTTTTGCCACTCTGAACCAATTTGCTGTCATTAGGTTTAAATCAAAATTTATAAAGAGTTATGTAATTTTAGTCCAAATAGAAATTCCATGACTAAAATTTAATTTCTCAGAAGATGATGGTGCCAATTAGTTCTCAGCTCTGAGAATTCAAGAAGTAGAGAATTCACCAGATCTGTCTTCAACTCACTGAAATATGCTGGGGGATTTCGATTCGTTTAGTTTTCCCCTTACTTTCTCATTTGTCTAGATCGAGTTAGGTAATACGGTGTAGGAAGAAGAGGCAGAAACAAGGAGTGAGAGAAACCTGGTTTCTCATGCAGAGTTTGCCCCTCATTAGCCAAGTGACATTGGGCAAATGATTTAACCTTACTGAGCCTTATATTTCACTGCATATTTGTGCATGCATTCCTACAATATATAGCTCAGTTTTATCTGTTTTTGAACTTTATAGAAAGGGAATTTTACTTTATGTATCTTTTGTGCCATTTGATTAACAGGGACTCCGTCTTATTTATTTCTGCATTCTCCTCCCATTCCAGCTCTGTTCAACCCAACACATAAGACAGTGCTTATTTGTCAGTGAGGACTTCTACACTGAGTTCTAATCCTACTGCGTTTGTAGGGATCATTTGCTTCCTCCTAGGCACCAACTATTTCTAATATTTTTCATCGTCCTAAACCTGAAACTCGCTTGCCTTCCCCTCACTCACTTTCAGCAGATCACTCCTCTGACTTCTCAGAAAAAGTAGATGTTATCAGATATGAACTCCTTTGACTGTGCTACCAAACTTAAAACCTACCTGCACCCCTATGCATCTTTTCCTCCTCTCTTTTTATTTTTTATTAAATAATTGTTTTCTTTATTGATTTTAGAGAGAAGGGAGAGGGAGAGAGAGATAGAAACATTGATGAGAGCCCGGCCAGTGTTGCTCAGTGGTTGAGCGTCGACCCATGCACCAAGAGGTCACCAGTTCGATTCCCGGTCAGAACACATGCCAGGTTGTGGGCCCGATCCCCAATGGGGGCATGCCGGAGGCGGCCAGTCAATGTTCTTTCTCATCGATGTTTCCATCTCTCTCTCCCTCTCCCTTCCTCTCTCTCTAAAATCAATAAAGAAAAAAAAAAAGAAACATTAATGAGAGAGAACATCGATTGGCCGCCTCCTGCTTGCCCCACACTGGGCATCGGGCCCACAACCTGGGCATGTGCTCTGACTAGGAATCGAACCAGCAACCTCCTGGTGCACTGAGCCACACCAACCGGGCCCTTTTTCTCTCTTATTACAGTGAAGAAAGATGCCTTTCCTATCATTCAAGATTAAGTATTCTGTGTATACTGGATTCTATTCCTGCTTAATTCTCAGAGCCTTTATTGAATATCTTATTTCATTCCTTTGTATTGAGCTATTCCTTCTAGTATTTAAACTTGCTCAAGTCTCTTCTGTCTTAAAAGAAAAATACGTATTTATCTATCCATCAACTGTAGTTGTGTCTTCAGATACTACACTGTCTTCTCCGCCACAATCAAACTTCTTGCAAGAGTGGTCTAATTCAATCTTTCTATTCCTCCAACTTCTACTTACTCTTCTGCACTGCAGTGTGACTTCCTCCTGATCATTCTCTGGAACTATGTAGAAACTCTTGAAACTAACCTCTATTTAACCAACATAATACCAATGAACTGGTACTCTCATTGCCTCTATAAAACATCCTGGCTGATGCCCACAGCACACTGAACACATGCAGGTAATATGCTACTGCCTAGTGTACACTTGGATTTTTGTTTAATATTTACCTTCCTGACTAGATGACGTTTCTATAAGAGTAAGTGGTCATGTCTGTCCTATTCACTGTTGGATCGACAGCCCAATGCCTATTACATAATAGGTATTAAAATAAATACTTGTTGAGTGAATGAATGAATAAACAATTTGGCAGTAGCTTTCAGTAATGGTTTGTTGAATGAAACAGTCTTCTTTTAAAAAGTACACTACACTGGCCGGTTTGGCTCAGCGGTTAGAGCATTGGCCTGCAGTCCAGAGAGACCCGGGTTCGGTTCCCGCTAAGGGCATGTACCTCAGTTACAGTTTGTCCCCGGCCCTGGTTGGTCATGTGGGTGGCAGCCACTCGATGTGTCCCTTTCACATCGAT